ACAGCAGTGCTTTAATATAGAGATTACAGTGCCTTAAGATAGTTCCTTGTTATAGTGCCACAATTTAGTGCTCAGTATAGTGCCTCTAAATGCCATAATATAGAGATTTCTACAGCATTCAGTGAGATAGTCTATACAGTGAAATTAGAGACTTAGTGCATAATTTTAAAGATTCCAATAGCAATTAGTGACTCTGCGGAATAGCAGAATAATTTTATATTTTTTTTATCATTAGTGATTTCATACAATAGACTCAATGCAGTATGTCTGAAATGCGTACCTCCACACACTGCAGTGATCTAGATTTGCCAAATCACTTAGTTTCAACTGACTACTCATATAGAGAAAAATAAAAGCGGTCTTCGACGAGAGCGTACAAATAGCCAATACAGTTCGAGGTAATAAAAATATATTACCACGCCTCATAGCCACTCTAGAGATCTTTCGGGACATCGCATTACGTGGAAGAGGTAGTCAACAAAGACGTGAACACTTCTGTAATCCCGCGCTGTACCACTGGCACTAACAGCCCTTACCCTGAGGTGGTTACTTCAAGTACAAACACGGACGCCCTGCCAGTAACAGCAACTATGCAGGCTCCCAGGAACACCGGGGAAAGGCATAGCCACTTGAAGTCAGTGACAACACCATCAGTGATTGTGCCCCAGAAACCAACCTTTGCGGCAGTGCTTAAACAGTTCAGTAAACCCAGTCTGATCATCAACCCTTTAGGGAGTATCCATCCACGTGATCTAAGAACACAGGAAAAGGTTCCACTTAGTGTGATCCCAGTTGTCGTCAACGCTATCAAACCGGCTCCAAAAGGCGGACTAGAAGTTTTTTGTAATACAAACGAGGAGGTACTCAAGTTACAGGAGCACATCAAAAAAGCTGAGGTCCAGGCAGAGGTTCGCCTCAGGCAAAAGAGGCAGCCGAGAATAGCCATCCATAATGTTCCAGAACATGTTAAACCAGAACAGCTCATCGCAGAGCTCAGCGCAACAGCAGGTCTATCAGCAAGAGTATACAAACCCCTGTTCCGACTTAAAGAGCGCCGAGCAAACAGAGTCAAATGGGTTCTCGAGTGTACCACGGAGAGCTTTGGAATCGCCATCAACATCAGACGTCTGTTCACAGCATGGCAGGCTCATACTATCAGAGAGTTTTTGGGAATCTGTAGATGTTATAGATGCCAGCAATTCGGGCACTCCCAGGATCTCTGCCGCAACAAGAAACAGTTCTGTGCCTTCTGCGCTGGGTCGCACAACACCAAAGTCTGTCAAGCAGAGTCACCAGCCTGTATCAATTGCGGGGACTGTAACTACCGCAACGGCACCTCCTACTACTTTGAACATCCGGCATACCACCCGGAATGCCCGATGTACCAGAGAGCCGTCTACAACACACGCTGCAACACACAATACTGAAGCTATAACATCTCAGCAGCCTACCAATGCTATGTTACTACCTAAAGCGTCTGAAGATAGCAACACTTTCTCACAAGAGATCCTACCGACAAATATCGACAACCCAGTCAACCTGATTCTAACTCATTCCTCAGCAGGCTCCATAAAATGCACGCAAATTTACCTCAAGCGGGCAGAAGCAGCTAATACGCAACTAGTGCAGCATGTCCTCGATCATGAGATAGATATCATCCTTCTCCAAGAGCCTTACTGCAGAAACGGCGCAATAGCCTGCCTACCACTCTCATGGAAGATCTTCCAGCGGAAAGCGCAACTTAACGAACTACCCCCGAGCGGCGATCATTTGTTGTAATCCACAATGGTCCCCACTCATTATCAAGCAGGCACGAGATCATGTTGCAATTCTTCTGAATTATAATAACTCCCAGATTATCCTATCATCCGTCTACAGCTCTCCACCAGAAGACATCAGCAATGCAGTAGATAGTATAACAGAAATACACAGAAAACATACTACCATTCCTAACGTAATAAGTGGAGACCTAAATGCGCACAACGTCATTTGGGGATACCCAGATACCTCACCGAAAGGAACAGCGTTAGAAGAATTTATAATGACAGCCAATCTACAGTTAATAAATACTCAGAATGCCCCACCGACGTTCGACAACTCATCAGCTATCCATAACAATGACTCATTATTGAAAGTAAATAAGTTCAGTTACTTAAAGTCATTACTAGGTGGGGTAGCTTATAATGCCGTTTCCGGACTCTCGCTTACAAATGAGAACTACGATTCAGCTATAGAATTGTTAACTAGCAGGTTTGGGATAAAAGATTTGATAATAAATGCTCACGTGAATAAACTGTTAAATCTTTCCCCTGTTAGAAATTTAAGGGATATAGTAAATCTTAGGAATTTATATGATCAGTGTGAAACTCAAATTAGATGCTTAAAGTCAATGAACGTCGTATCAGAAACTTACGGTAGTTTACTACTTTACGGTAGTTTACTTTAAATTAACAAAGAGATAATAGGATTACAGTAGCTGATTCTTGGATCACAGCTCCATATGCCTTCTGACTTGCGTCGGTAAAGCAATGCATTTGAATATCTCTCAATTCAGACTTGTTAGTCTTTCGGAAATGTCGCGGAATTTTTACATCCTGAATCGCTGACAGTTCATTAATCCATTTTTTCATTCTGTTTTCAAAGTCCAATGGTAACGGATCATCCCAATCTACCCCAAGTTGCCAAATTTCCTGCATTAGTATTTTTGCCCTAATAGTGAATGGACTTATAAATCCAATGGGATCGTAAAGCTTTCCAATGGTTTTAAGAACTTCTCTTTTTGTCATTAGATTTGTTTCCCCTTGAGCTTGATTAGTTAGATTTTCTGATTCTATCTTCAGAAGGTCTTCCTTGTAATTCCATTTATATCCCAATACCTTCTGTTCCAGAACTTTCTGGATTTCACCATTTTCGTATTCGTCAAAAACTTCCTGCAGATTCAGTGACAAAAATATTGCTGTTTTGATCGGAGCAGATTACTATCATGAAGTAATAACTAGTAGACTTAAACGTTTTAAAAATAAACTTATAGCTTCCGAAACAATATTTGCATGGTGCCTTCAAGGCCGGACTGATTCTAACGGTAAATTGTTAAACATGGACATTATTGTTGACGACAAATTGGTCTCAACACAGTTAAAGCAGTTTTGGGAATTAGAAACATTGGGAATAAAACAAGGGAAGGAAATTAGTAAAATAGACAATGACATTTTAGATAATTTTAACAGAACTATCAAATTTAAAGAAACAAATTAGAAAGCAGTTAAACCATTGAACGAATGTTTATACGTAGACGATTTAATAGGTGGGGATGAAGACGAAAATGAAGCTAAACTCATATATGAAGATATTAGATATATTTTGAATGCTGCTGGGTTTCAACATGCGAAAATGGAAAACAAATTGTGGGAAATCTGCAGGAAGTTTTTTGACCGAATACGAAAATGGTGAAATCCCAGAAAGTTCTGGAACAGAAGGTATTGGGATATAAATGGAATTACAAGGAAGACCTTCTGAAGATAGAATCAGAAAATCTAACTAATCAAGCTCAAGGGGAAACAAAGCTAATGACAAAAAGAGAAGTTCTTAAAAACCATTGGAAAGCTTTACGATCCCATTGGATTTATAAGTCCATTCACTATTAGGGCAAAAATACTAATGCAGGAAATTTGGCAACTTAGGGTAGATTGGGATGATCCGTTACCATTGGACTTTGAAAACAGAATGAAAAAATGGATTAATGAACTGTCAGCGATTCAGGATATAAAAATTCCACGACATTTCCGAAAGACTAACAAGTCTGAATTGAGAGATATTCAAATGCATTGCTTTACCGACGCAAGTCAGAAGGCATATGGAGCTGTGATACACCTGCGATCCGTCACGGTGGACAGTGAAATAGGAAGAAGTTTTGTCATTTCCAAAACCAGAGTAGCTCCACTGAAGAAGCTGTCCCTTCCAAGATTAGAGCTGATGGGGACGCTCATCGGAGCAAGATTAGCCTCGAATGTCAAAGAACAGTTAGAGAAAAGACTCCAGATGAATGTATATTTTTGGTCAGACTCTTCTGTTACGTTACATTGGATAAAAGGCGATTTAAATAAATGGAAGCCATTCATCCAACATCGAGTAATGGAAATACGAGAGAAAACATCACCTGAGTCCTGGAATTATTGACCCTGGAGATGAAAATCCGGCTGATATGATGGACCAGAGGAACAAGATACAAATTCCACGACTAAAGGAATAACGTTAGTCTGAACTTAAGAAATAGTAACGTGTGGTGGCATGGACCTATGTGGTGGCATGGACCTAAGTGGCTTATTACAGAGCATCGATTCGTGGCCTAAACTTACAGAATCAGTAAGATATTTCGAATAGAATGAAGAGCTTTGAACTTCGAAGGGGAGCTGTAGGTGAACTCAACAGTCACAGGTGAAAATTCCGCTGAGAACGGAATTCATTAAAAGGTATTCATCGTCATTCAGCAAATTGATTAGAACTACTGCGTGGTGTTTAAGGTTTGCGAACAACTGTAGAACCAATCCATCATTAAGAAAAGAAAGTTTTTAGAGTGCTTCTGAGCTAAAGAATGCAACAAAGGTGCTAGTCAAACGTGTACAACATTCTGAATTTCAACCTGAAATTAAGTGCCTGCAATCGAAACGATCAGTTCCAAGTAATAGTAAGGTTTTATCCTTAAATGTATTTCTGGATGAAGATGAACTTTTACGAGTTGGTGGGCGATTGAGTCTGACGTCTCTCCAATCTTTCAGAAGACCAGAAACATCAACTTCTTTTACCCAAAAGACATCATTTCACTGAATTACTCATAGATTATTATCACAAAAAATCTCTCTTCATTCGGGCGTTCAAACAACACTTTCTCTTTATTAAACAATTATAGTGGATACCTTCCGGAGACAAGATAGAGTTAGGACGCGTTATAAGTAAATGCATGACGTGCTTTCGGAACAAGGAACCAAACCATAAACCAAATGATGGGAGACTTACCTAGAGATAGAGTTGTAATAACTAGACCATTCGAAAAAATAGGACTGGACTTTGTAGGTCCAGTTATCACCAAGCCTAATTTGAAAAGATCTAGAGTTATGTTAAAATCATACATCGCGATATTTATTTGCTTTAGTACAAAGGCTATTCATCTAGAAGTAGTATCGGATTTTTCTACTGAAGCATTTCTAGCATGTCTTAGAAGGTTTATTGCCAGACGATTTAAACCATCCATTGTTTGGAGTGATAACGCTACGAACTTCAAAGGAACGAAGAATGTTCTTGATAAACTCTTTAGAATTTGTAGATCGGATCCTATTCAGCGCTTTAGTTCCGAAGAAGGTATAACATGGAAATTCATTCCTCCTTCTTCCTCGCATTTTGGCGGGTTATGGGAGGCTCATATAAAATCAATGAAGAGAGTTTTGACAAAGGTCGCGAAAACGACAATTTTGAACTTTGAAGAGCTGTATACATTAATTACACAAATAGAAGCCTGCTTGAACTCTCGACCTCTATCACCTATTTCGGCTGATCCAACAGATCTTCAGCCTTTGATTCCAGGTCATTTACTAATAGGAGCTCCATTTTTGTCGATACCAGAACCGAATGATTCTGTAGATTCTTTGACCTTGTCTTCTAGATGGACTTTAATTCAAAAACTAAGAGCTAATTTCTGGAACCGTTGGAGCGTGGAATATCTTAATTATTTGCAGAATCCGCTTCAAAATGGAATCAAGTGAGAATCCAAACTCAAGGCAGGACAACTAGTCTTGTTAAAGGATAAAAACAAGACACGCATGAAGTGGACACTAGCTCGCATCGAGGAAACCTTTTCTTGGTCCAGATGGACTAGTACGAGTCGTAGACGTCAAGAACTTCAGATGGAATCTTTTCGCCGAGCCGTCTCCAACATCAGTCCACTTCCCATTTCCAAATGATGTGGACAATCGTCCAACGGGGGCCGAGATGTTCCGGTTTGACTAGAAATTTTCACTATGCCGATGTTCCGGTTTGATTAGAAACAAACTTTTCTCTGCCTCAGAATGGCAACAGTGAGAACTTTGCTATGACGCAGCTAAAACGCTGCTCTTGAGATGTAACATTAGATTCTATTCTAGATTCTAAATTAGATTAATTTTAGTATTTAATAAATCCTTTTAAAACTAGATTGAGTATTTGATCATAGAATTATAGCTGAACCACCGCTTGCAGAAATTTTAGATGTGGCATTTAGATACGTCGTTAGATAGTTAGATGCGTAGGCAGCGACATTCGTGATTCGATCAGTGTACATTAGTGCTTACATAAACAACAATAATAATAAGAGATAGCTCAGAAAATGTGGTTGAAGTTGGAGAATATATCAACTTTGATTCAAATAAAAGCAAACAAGTAATTGAAATTTCTGTAAACGATGCAGAAATTCAAATGAAGTAAGTAATTCATCAAAAAATAACAACAGATAGCTTGGATGAAAATGTGGTTGAAGTTGGAGTATATATCAACTTTGATTCAAATAAAAGCAAACAAGTAATTGAAATTTCTCGAAACGAGGAGGATGAAGTAACTATTAAACTGATTAACTTCAATGATCCTCCATTATGGCCAACAATTTCAGACAAAATACAATTTTTCTTAATAGAACATGGACCAGATCAAGGACAAGATGTTGATTTCAGAGAATCTACTTCAGAGGATGGCAGAAGATTTTCCAGAAAGTGATTTTTTAAGAAGTGTTCCTAATGAAGAGGTAATAGATTGCAACTGGCTTATTTATTCAAAAAGATGTCTGTCGTCATTCTGTAACAGCATTTTGAAAATAACAGCATTTTGAAGCAAACCAATTTTAAATTTTTATGTTTGTTGTCTACGTGGAATTTAATATTGCAAGAAATCGAAAAAGAAAATAAAGCCTTGCAGTCAAAACGTATAACTGTCTATAAAGCAGCTCGCTTAATAGAGGGACTATATCTTTCATTACAGGAAATGAGAGAAAATATTTCTCAATGAATTTTTGAAAAAATGTAAAACTTCAGCTTTAGAGATGAATATATCATCAGAAATTGAAGAGAAACGAAAACGAAAAGTTAATAAATCAAATTATGAGGAATGAAATCAATTGATATAAATTGTAGTTTTTTCAGAAAAATATATTTTTATAGAAATTAAAGAAGTGTTGGACGTTTTAATTTCACAACTAAAATGACGATAAGAAAAGTTAAATGAAATCTCTTCCGATTTTCAGTTTCTAACTGGTGAACAATTAATGTCATTAGATTTAAGCAATTTAAAGGCAGCTGCTTATAGCATAGCACTTAAATATCTAAATGATATGAGCGCTGAAGAAATACAGTCAAAAATATCTAGTTTTAAAAACCCTGCTATTTCAATAATTCCGGATACAAAAGCAGCTACAAGCTTAGAACTTTGAAAAATAATTCACGATTGTAATTTAATTCAGTCCTAACCGAATTTAGAACCAGCGTTAAAATTTTTTAACATAGCCAGTTACTGTAGCTAGTGGCGAAAGATGCTTTAGCAAATTTAACATAATAAAAACATAAGATTATGGTATGTTGATTATGGTAGACACAGAGGGTTACCTGCTGAAGGGAAAGATACCTTCGTGATGGACTCTTTAATGAAAAATAGAAACTTCCTAAAGAACTGTTTATCTTAGAAAAGCAAAGCTCAACGTCGATGTTTGAACTATTTCCTAATGACTGTGTTGTAAAACACTAAAAGTTTCTCTAATTTAGAAATCCTTCGTTGTGGTCTCTAAAAATGGAATCGAAGGCAAAGAATCCTTAAGTTCTTGGCCATAACGAACCAATCAGAACACAGAAATTGAATCGCTTCTTAGAGTTAATGAAATATTTGCTGTGTACCCGTTTGTAAGTAATACTGAATTCAGTAAATTTTAGAATTTAATATAAATACATGTGTATCACGACCATAGTTTTATCATGCACAGATTTAAATAAAAAATATATTTGCATTAAATATCTCTTTTCCTTTACTTCATTTTTATTTTCTAACATTTATCATAAAATAGGACCTTCCAGTAATATTGCAAAGCATGATAATGGATACAAATATCTCACGAAATCTTTTTTTACAAGCCATTTATTTTATGAATGATATTTACTATATATCCATCACATATCCCCCGAAAATTGCATCACATTGTTTTCAATAAAGCATTTTAATTATGCTTCCGAAAGCTTTCATGATTTTTAATGTACTCAAAAACAGCTCCCTTTCTTGCTTCATAATTACATGGCTTTTTGAAAACTTTCGTTGTTAAATACCATGATGTCTAATCTCTATTTCAAAGAAGAGAGTGGGTCCTATATGCATTTGGAATGTGAATGCGTTTTTCATACGTAAAAATAATAAAAATTCGTTAGTTTTAGCTCTATGATTTCTTCTTCTCTTTTCAAACATAAGTTTTACAGAAGCTTCTTTATCTTGTTTAACTCGAGTGCAACAAACTATTTTTCAAATGAAACAAAATGTATTCGCATCTTTATAAGTTAAAAGACATACCTGGTGTACAAAACGTCATTTTCTTCTTCAAAAACGAATCCATACAAAAGCGCATATTCTTCTAAGAAGACAAACATTAATCCGTATACAGACACACATCTGACTAAGCAGACAGACAACAATCCATACAAAGAGATACACATTCGTCCGAGATGGTTATTTTTATTTCTAACCAACTACTCAAATGAAGGTGTTTAGATCTAATTCTCAAACTATAATCTCTGTAATTAATTTTCAAAGGACTTCACGTTATATCACTCCAACAAATCTCACAGAGGTACTAATATATGATCATTTTTATAAAGTTATCTTCATTAAACAAACAAAGCATGAAATATTTTAATATAGATAAATATGTGCATATTAAAATAGAGACATTATTTGTCCCTTCAAATTCCACGTATAATTCAAACTGCCAAATAATCATTGAAAATTCTCAGTTAGATATTCCCGTTTTCTCTAATTATTTATAAAATAGAACTTTCCAGTATTATTTATTTAGATAGTATGATTTATAAAGATAGATTTTATTTACATATATATGTACATAGATAGACGAACTAATGTTTCACAAAGATGAAGACACAGTTTTAAATACGTCTTTGTGAAACATTAATGCTAAATTTCTTACTTTATGTCTTTAATGATAATTTTCTGCAGCTTAAAGCGTGAAAATACTAGGCATATTTTTTAATTGTTTAGTGATTATATATGCGTATATATAGATAGATAAATAGATAAACCGATTGCATATATTTGCATTTCTATTTTTCATGATTTAAATTCAAGTTCCTTTAAAAATATTGTTTTAGGCATTAAATTTCATACGTCTGGGTTACTTACTTCATTTAAATACATTCTACTAACTTTATATTTGGAGATAATATAATCAATATTACTTTAGTAAATAAATTATTATTACTGACTTTACAGCTATTGAGCAAGTATCAGGAAATTTATTTCGATTTCAATGAATTTCAATTAATTAATTCAATATATACGTATACAGATATAGTAAGTTTAAAAAAAGTGTTAGTGTTAACGCTAAAAATATACTATAGATACTATGGTTCCGGTGACAATTTTAACATAAGTAAAATAAAGTGCAATGAAAAGTGTAAACATTAAATAAACAACTTGTTTTCTAAATTTTGCAGCTCAATGCGCAAAGGTCTTTTTTACTTTGTTCTCTTTTCTTTAATTATATATATATATACATACATATATATTACAGACAAAACTAAACAAAAACTGAATAATTAATAGTGATTTTCAATTATATGCATTTTCTGTGAAGAAAAATGTCTCCTAGTTTTATTCATGTAATTTCTAAGAAAGAGCTTGACTGAAACAACTTTAATTTTATTGTTCAATATAAGAACGTTTTTACAGGTGAATTCATTTTAATGGATTCATAATAACTGTAATTAATTCATCATTTTATGTAAAGAACAATTTAGATATATTTTGCGATATTTTTTAAGAGGCATTATATAAGTATATATAGATATGTAAAAATTAATATCTAGATATAAATAGATATTTAAACTAGAAATAAATTAATAAGAACTTTGTATAACCTTCAAAACAACAAGCGGCTGGAACTAAACACTTTCTTATAAAAGATTTCAAAGAAATCGAAATTTCAATTTTGATATTACGCCCAATCTTCAGGAAAGACTGCTTAAATAGTCACTTTACATTCCTAAAAAACGAATTCTTTACCCGCATTGACTTATACCTAGGTGCATTATAAATTACAAAAAAAAAATACTGAAGTAACTTCCTGGAACCAGTTTAAATATTTTACCAACAGAAACAAAAGAGAAAAAAAAATAGGAACTCTCAAACTAAAGCTTTATTTTGAAAAACTTTCCCTTTATTACAACCAGTTCCTTAACCACGCCTATTTTACAATAAGGTTTTAACATCTTTTTCTTGGAATTAAATTCCTTGACTACTTAAATTCTTCTTCAAAGAAAAATATAGGAAGAAAATATCAAGAAAAATACTATTATTTGAAAATCTAGTTTTAGATCCAATTCTTCCCAAAATTTCTGAAAAAAAAAAAAAAAAAAAAAAAAAAAAAGAATGTAAAGATTACTGAATTACCACATCTCTACTTTTATAAAATAAAATTTTACAAAAACATAAAAAACTCTTTCCTCATTAAAATTCCACTTCACAGCTC